TCCTCCCCCCGCCCCCCGCCCCCCGGCCCCGCCCCCCCCAACGTCTCCTCCCCCCCCCCCCCCCCCCCCCCCACCCCACGTCTCCTCCCCCCCCGCCCCCCCCCAGCCCCCCAACGTCTCCTCCCCCCGCCCCCCCCCCGCCCCCCGGCGTCTCCTCCCCCCGCCCCTCCCCCAGCCCCCCAACGTCTCCTCCCCCCTCCCCCGCCCCGCCCCCCGGCGTCTCCTCCCCCCGCCCCTCCCCCAGCCCCCCAACGTCTCCTCCCCCCGCCCCTCCCCCCGCCCCCCAACGTCTCCTCCCCCCTCCCCCGCCCCGCCCCCGGGCGTCTCCACGGTTGCCCCTGGAGACGCGGGCGGCGTCTTGTTGGCGTGTGTCTCATGGCGGCGCTGCTGCCCGATCCGCTGCTGGAGGCGCGGGACCAGGCGCGGGCTCCCCTCAAAGACTTCTACCAGATCGTGGTGACGAGGAACGAGGTGAACGAGGGGGGTGACGAGGCGGGGAGACAGGGTAGAGGAGGAGGGGGACGAAGACGATGGAGAGGGGAGACGGAGGAGAGTGGTTTGTGATGATTTGTAACGGGATCTTTACCGTGTTGTTGTTGTTGTCGTTGGTGATGAGAAGTTTCTGTCAGATCGTGTTGACGAGAGGAGGAGTTGACGAGGTGGGATGTTGTCGTTGTGGTGACCGTGATGGTTGTGGTGAAGAGGAGACGACGCGTAGGGGATGGGGGGTAGGGTGGTGACGAGGTGCCTTGTGGTGATTGTTCTAACAACTTCATTGTAATTTTGTTGACATGATGACAACGATGTTATGTCGTGATGTTGATATTATCTTGTCGATCAGTGTGTGATTGAGGGGATTGTGTTCATAGCGGTGATGTTGATGGTGCCGGCGATGGGGGGAGCGGTGGTGCAACGGTTAGCGCGCTGCGCTGCGAATTGGCGATCCGAGTTCGATTCCCTCTCACGGCCAACACCGGTGACGATATATTTCAACCGATCCTGGGCCACCACTAGGTCGACTCAGCCTCCAATGAGTACCTGGTGCTATATATATAAATATGACACTAGGAAGACAAAGGCGGCCGGGCGTGGTGCCGGCTTTCATAGGTGTGCTACTCGCTAACAGAACTTGCCCCAACAGTGTATTTAGGATGTACGGTGGATATCTGTCT